CCAAATCGCATTCTTTTCTTTGAATCTAGGTAAATAAGGATTGTGAAACAGCGGTCACAACCCTTGAATAAAAGATATCGACCAGTGTGTGTGACGTTTATTATTTCTCATTTTTTTAAGTTGCATGAGCCATGATCGCATGTCTGAACCACCAGCCGTCTCTGTGCGACGCTGACAGATCTGCCGTACGTGTGCATATGCGTGTGTGTATGTGTGAGTTATCGTTTAACAATCTGTAGTATCTCTCTCTCTCTCTCTCTCTCTCTCTCTCTCTCTCTCTCTCTCTCTCTCTCTCTCTCTCTCCCTCTCCCTCTCTCTCTCTCTCTCTTTCTCTCTCTCTGAAATAAAATCCAGCCTAGTGTGCGACGTTGGTAATCTTGCATTTTTTATGCGTGTGTGTATATGTATGAGTGCGCGCGCGCGCGTGTGTGTGTGATCGTTGACAAATCTGTAGAATGTGTTTGTCTACCTGAAATCCCTTCCAACTCGTGTGTGTGGTGTCGATAAACCTGCAGTATGTGCGTTTATCGCGTCGAAAAAAAAGGGGGCGCGTGGTATTTTCCCCTGTGTGTGTGTGTGTGTGTGTGTGTGTGTGTGTGGGTGAGAGAGAGCGACAGCGGACATAGGCATATATATATATATATATATATATATATATATATATATATATGTGTGTGTGTGTGTGTGTGTGTGTGTGTGTGTGTGGTTTCTGAACAATGTGCAGTATATGTTTACCTCTGGAACATCCTCCAGCCCCTGTGAGTGACGTCGATAAATCTGCCGTGGGTGTACGTCAGTCACATCGATACAACGATTCCACTAAATTGCCACGTTTACTGTGGTATTATACGTGTACCCAATGCTGAAAAAACGATGATGTTCGTGTGACAGTTCTGGTATATTTTGTTTTCTACTGAAAAATCGATTGTATTTGTGAGGAAGACAGACAGATAAGTACATCTTGGATCCTCCACATCTTTAAAGGCTTTGCAAATCCCATTCTTTCATAAATGTGGTTTTCTTGTAACAGGGACATCGTCGAACGGGTCGCCTATTGGCTGGCCGATTGACGGCTTCATCGTTGGTCGGGACAGTATTTGGGTGTGTCTCGTTTGATCGCATCAGCAAGAGCCCTTTCAAGGCTGCTTGGTGGCGAGCAATACTAAGCCATTTTATCTGGCGCACATAACCTAGTCACAATTATAACCAGTAGTTGCCCTTTGTGAGGATGCTGGTTGAACATGACGATTTTTGTTGTTGCAAAGCAAGTCAAGTCACAAGCATATTTTTAATGCAATATCTTTTAAAATAAATTAAAAAATTGTCCCTCATATTTTTTAAATTTTATTAAAATTGTGTTCTGTATATTATCACAGGCTTTTGATTATTATGAATTGTTGTAACCTACTTAAATTAGAATCTGATTCTGGACTCAAACTAAACAATCACATTCTTGAACAAGTCGACAGCTTTACATACATGGGAAGTAAAATGACATATACAGGGGACAGCGCCAGAAATAGAATTCCAATGGCATCTAGTGTTTTTTCCAGACTGTCAAACATATGGAAGTCACTGAAACTCAGCAAACCCTTAAAAAAACTTAAGATCTTCAACTCTTGTGTGATTCCAGTACTAACTTATATTTGGGAGAGTTGGAAAGCAACAGTAGCTCTTGATAAAAATTTAGACAATTTTGAGAACAGACTTCCTAGAAGAATATTAAATCTCCACTGGAAATATTTCAGATCCAATACGCAAATAAAACCAGAGACCAAGCAAGAGATTGTATCAAATTTTATAAGAAAGCGCCGCTGGAATTACATCAGCCATGCATTCAGAATGGATAAGACCAGACTCCCCCATTAAGCCCTTATAAGGACACCGGAAGGGAAAAGAAAACGGGAAAACCATGACAGACTCTGCGCAGAACCATCATCAGGGGAAGGCTCAGCTATGGGCCTAATGAATATCCAAGACCTAAATCAGGTGGCAACAAACCGTCACAGCTATGACTTTTGTTCTATGCACCCCCTTGGGCACAAGATAAAGACTAACTAACTAACTTAGTAAAGTAAGAGTAAAGTCAAGGACCATTTTCCACGCCTTAAGGCGTATAAGGACTATAGGGCTAGACCTATATTTTTATAGACCAATACTAACTAACTTAAATTGTATACAATAATCAGCTTGATATACGCAAACTCACCCCTTTTACTAACTTTAATAATTTCATTCACTTTGATTTTCTGGGGTGTGATTTTACAAAACATATTTTTTTATTATTTCTGTTAATAAAAACTAAGGACAGTATGTTTCCTTTTCCAAACAGTGTATATATTTTATTATATATATTAAAGATTAGCTGGTGTATTTAAAACGGTAGGGCCTCAAGGCTCTATAGGGCTTAGGGCCTATTCAAGGCTAAATCTGGCCTTGAAACCTATACTCAGCATTGCTGTTTAATTTATGTCATCATGTAACAATATGACTCGTTTGTAAACCGTATCGTTGGTTGTAAATTGAAATACTCAGGCCATACTCATCGCCATAATGCTCTGGGGGATTACAGTAATGGACAATATAGCTCTTGGAATTTACTTCTTTACATCAATTTCATGTTTAGGTAGTAGTTTTGATAGTCAGTGAGACACAAAGATAGAATTTATGACACTCATTAGCAAGGCATCAGCAGTTTTGAAAAACCTTAACCAAATATGGAACTCTAAATAGGGGTAGTATAATTTAAAAACCTTAACAAAATATGGAACTCTAAATAGGGGTAGTATAATTTAAAAACCTTAACAAAATATGGAACTCTAAATAGGGGTAGTATAATTTAAAAACCTTAACAAAATATGGAACTCTAAATAGGGGTAGTATAATTTAAAAACCTTAACGAAATATGGAACTCTAAATAGGGGTAGTATAATTTAAAAACCAAGTAGCGTATTTTTAATGTAGAAGTTATTTCAATTGTAAGATATGTCAGTGAAAGTTGGAGAGCCATCAAAGACACGGGATGAAAGTTAAATGCATTTGAGAACAAACGTCTGAGGAAAAAATTCAACATAAAATGGGACGAATTCAAGAGGGGTGAAGAAATATACTTGTAAGAGAAAAATATTAACAAGTGGTAAGTAACAACAGTGGTAAAAAATTATAGCAGAAGGCATGGTACCAGGAATGAGGGGCAGGGGTCGACCGACACGAAGATGGGCACAGGATTTAAGTGATTCCTTGAGTGTGAAAGTGCATGAGGCGGGAGAACTGGCGAGAGACCGAGTTTCTTTCAATCAGACTGTGATGAGAGCGACGTTCTGCAAAGGACCTGATACATGATGATGATAAAGATGGTAACAACAGTTACAAGAGAAAGAGGATGGAGCTATGGTGGACACATGCTTATAAGAAACGAGCAGAGAATCATAAAAAAACAAGCACTAAAAGTGGGAAATGTGTTGATTATGGAAGCCATAGGGTAAATAAAAAATAAAAACAAAAAAAAATAAATCAATCAAATGTTGATGAGAGAGGCCAGACGTGCTAGACAGGATTTTATCCATGATAATGAAGGGAAGTACTTGTCGCCGCTCTAGATGTCCCATCATAACTTTCTATCTGGTTGAACAAGGCTTCTGGACTTAGGTTTGTTGATTTAATCGTCAGGGATGCGACCCTGACTTGACCAGATGTGGTCAAACCTTCAGATGGAAGCTTCAAGAGGAAAACAAAAATGAAGTCCGTGATTTCTGACTGAAGTCTCTTATGATAAACAGATTGTAATCAGTGCTGCGATATTGTATGTTTATTCCTGTCAGGTGCGTCAACAAAGAAAACACTGAGCACTGGGGAAGGAAGTCATCTTCTTAACTGTTTTCTGGAGGTTGGTGGAAAGGGGGGGGGGGGGGGGTGGGATTGGTGCAAGGAGCATAAGCCATGTTTAAGCGCGCTATTCTATATATATATATATATATATATATATATATATATATATATATATATATATATATATATATATATATATATATATATATATATATATACGTACATACATAAAATGGCAAGTAAATAGACTTGAAATATTCTGATGTGTGTAAAAGAATACTTTTGAAAGAGGGAGGAAGGGGACACACTTAGTCCCCTTACAAAATTTATAGGCCTTCAGAAAAAAGCTGCTGCAGTGTAGCGGCTAGACGCTTCGCCGGCCCATCCGACAATCGTTGGTTGAGCTCCTGACGGAGCCGGCTGTTTTAAGAAATGACCTTGATTCCCAGGTCGACCCAGCCATTAATGAGTACCAGGTAGAGTGCTGGTAAATAAAGGCGGCCGGCGTGATGCTTACCACATCACCCATAGAGGTCTATACAAATCTTGGTCTAGCCTCATATGCCTGATGCACCACTGGTGTGTAAAGGGACCTTTACTTCAGAAAAAGGCAGATTTTTTAGGGCAGTGATTCCCAAACTGTGTGCCGCGGCGCCCCGGGGAGCCGCGACTTCTTTACAGTGGCGCTGCGAAAAATTCGAAGATACACAGTTTTTTTTTCATGTCTTACTTACGAATATTCATACTTTTACTTAAGTTAGGGCGCCGTGGAAAAATGTGTAATTTTAAAAAAAAGTGCTGAGACTAAGACAAGTTTGAGAAACACTGCTCAAGGGAAAAGACGGTCCTCAGGTTATGGTACCCCTGATATCTATGTCTCTGTTTGGTCATTATTCTTTTTTAGAGAAGTAAGTTTTACCCCACCTGGACATCACACAGATCTATAAACACCCGGTGACGCAAAGTGCCACCATGCAAGGGAGGATCACCCGTGGAGAGGTCCCGGAAACCACGTTCAACCTTAAGGTTATATTAGGGTCCCCGGCAATAGCCAGGGCGGGGCTTCAAAATAACGAAAAATTGAATTCCACAATGGTTCCACTTCTTATGTTATTAAGAGTATGAAGACTTTATGCATACAGAACATCTCATATGTGTGTCTTGTATTGAAATTAACATATCTGCGCTTCAACAGGATAATGATCGCTTACAGCTTTCGCTTCCTGAGAGGATAAGGCATACTGTGTTTCATAGTTATAGACTGAGGCAGCACTGTGTTGTACCGGGTCTGTGACAATTATACGGTCGTAGGCGCAGTTGGTTTGTGGCGAGACTGTGGTGTCTGCTGTATCTGGAATCAACCATGTGAACCTCTGGTCCATCTTAAGTGGGGTCTGCGCAAGAGCAGACGTGGACATGTATCTGCAGTCTGCATTTAGGTCTCCTAAAATAACAGCTTTGTCTGTGCTCCAGTGGCGGAGAATGAAATCTGTCACCTCAACCATGCTTGCCATTTCTGTCATGGTATTCTTGGGTTGGGTGTGCACGCCTATGAAAGCAATACCTGGCTCCGACGAAGTAGGGGACGTTTTGATTAAAATTGAATACGGTTCTCTTTCAAATTCATCATTGGTAGAATCATCGTACTAAAACGTGTCAACTAGGTAAGCTTTACCTAGACGGTAAAAGAAAGCATATTGTTCTCTATAATAATTGGAATAACGACCAAGGGGTTGGCTCAGTGAGAGTCCATAAGGTGAGGATGCATTGACTAGTTCCCAGAGACGATTCATCGCCGTCTGATGGACATCATCTCTGATTTCCATCATCAGCATGACGTCATACCGTCGGATTATATCAGCCACAATGTTCAGGATGCCTTCGTCAGCGGATTTAGCCACGGTGAACCATTTGACGTTGAAAGATCCCACTGACAGACATCGAGATCTGGAACGGGTTGCCAGTACGCTGCTCAATACCATCAGTTGAATCAGTTGTGCCAACACCTCCATTTCGAGGCTAAAACTGTTATCTGAAAGCAGTTGAGAAAATATATTAATTTAAACAGTTTATGTTACCAGTTCGAGTTCGCCCTAGGCAAGACTCCGGGAAGTAAAGGTGGCCGGCCTGATGCTGACCACATCACCCATCTTGTGCCGATTAAATTATAGGACTAGCCCTATATGCCTAAAGGCGTAGACAATGGACATTTACTGCTATTTTACGTGACTAGGCAAGACTACACAAGGCAACAAGTTGTGGACAGATGTAATAATCAACGCTCCACGACAAGAAGTATGAGAATTATAAAGGAAAAAACAAATATTTGAAGATTAAAACAAATATATATATATATATATATATATATATATATATATATATATATATATATATATATATATATATATATATATATATATCGATTTCTAAAGCGTTAAAAGATAAAATATTCAGTTACTAGAAACAGACGAAATCGAATTAGAAATCGAATGAGATTCACAGTACAATCTTTGATATTGTTAAATAGTTTCTCTGATGTGAAGTTTTTTCATTGCTTTTTGACTTGCTCTTTGTCTACCTTTGAATTCTACGCCCCAGTCATATTTTTGTCTGCACCATGTATGATATGGAGGTCACAGGGCATTTCCTCCAAGTGGGCAACCCCTTTTGTGTGTGGGAGTGGGGGGGGGGGTGTGGGGGTGGAGTGGGGTGAGGGGCGGGGGGTCTTTATATATAATTCAGTGCCTTTGACTGTATGTAAGTCAGTATTGGTTCTGTGTTGACCATTTATCTTATGAGCTTATTCCTAAATGTTTCACATATGGTAACTTTTATTGCCTTTCTTAGACATCCCGTTTCCATAGTAACTAATTTAAAATTCAAGCGCAGTCAGTTAAATAGCAGCATCTATCATTCATAACCCTGTGCCACTAGGTTACCAAAGTTATTGTAGACTGTTCTGTTAAGTCCCACTCATATTTCAGGGATCAGGTCCACAAAACGTTAACTAGATACAATAATACAAAAGTCTTTTGCCTGCAGCATCTCCTCTTTCTGTGTACTGGGTTCAGTATCAAATTATGTAACGGTCGGTGGGTTTTATTACACTCCATTGAATTTTATGTGTTTCAGTCTCAGATATTGTGCAACAGTCTCAGAGAGTGTGCAACTGTCCTTGATATTGTAATGCAGTCTCGAAGAGTGTGTAGCTGTCTTAGATATTGTACAGCAGTCACAGATATTGTACAGCAGTCTCAGATACTATACAGCAGTCTCAGATATTGTACAACAGTCTCAGGTATTGTACAACTGACTAAGATATCGTACAGCAGTCTCAAATATTGTACAGCAGACTAAGATATCGTAAACAATCTCAGATATCGTACAGCAGACTAAGATATCGTACAGCAGTCTCAGATAGTGTACATCAGTCTCAGATATTGTACAGCAGACTAAGATATCGTACAGCAATCTTAGATATTGTACAGCAAACTAAGATATCGTACAGCAGACTAAGATATTGTACAGCAGGCTAAGATATTGTACAGCAGACTAAATATATTGAACAGCAGACTGGGATAATGTACAGCAGTCTCAGATATTGTACAACAGACTGAGATATTGTACAGAAGTCTCAGATATTGTACAGCACACTAAGATATTGTACAGCAATCTCATATATCGTACAGCAGTCCCAGATATTGTACTGCAGTCTCAGATATCGTACATCAGCAAACTCAGGTATTGTACAGCAGTCACATATTTTGTGCAGCTGTGTTAGATATTGTACAGCATTCTCAGAGAGTGTGCAACTGTCTCAGATATTGTACAGCAGTTTAGATATTGTGCAACAGACTTAGAGAGTGTACAAATGTTTAAGATTTTGTACAAGAGTCTAATATATTATGCAACAGTCTCAGATAATGTACAACAGTCTCAGATATTGTACAACCGTCTAAGAGAGTGTGCAACTGTCTCAGATATTGTGCAATAGTCTCTGATATTGTACTGCAGTCTCAGATATTGTATAGCAGTTTAGATATTGTGCAACAGTCTCTGATATTGTACAGCAGTCTCAGATATTGTACAGCAGTCTCTGATATTGTACAGTAGTCTTAGATATTGTACAGCAGTTTAGATATTGTACAGCAGTCTCTGATATTGTACAGCAGTCTCAGATATTGTACAGCAGTCTCTGATATTGTACAGCAGTCTCAGATATTGTACAGCAGTTTAGATATTGTACAGCAGTCTCTGATATTGTACAGCAGTCTTAGATATTGTACAGCAGTCTCTGATATTGTACAGCAGTCTCAGATATTGTACAGCAGTCTCAGATATTGTACAGCAGTCTCTGATATTGTACAGCAGTCTCAGATATTGTACAGCAGTTTAGATATTGTACAGCAGTCTCTGATATTGTACAGCAGTCTTAGATATTGTACAGCAGTTTAGATATTGTGCAACAGTCTCAGAGAGTGTGCAACTTCACAGATATTGTACAGCCGTCAGAGTGTACAGCAGTCTTAGAGAGTATGCAACTGTCACAAAAATTGTACAGCGGTCAGAGTGTACAGCAGTCATAGACAGCAGTCTCAGAAAGTGTATAGCAGTCGCATAGAGTGTACAACCAGTTCGAAGACAGACAACCTTTGAGATCAATTACTGTCAGCCTTCATTGTGAAGACGGCACTTGGTTTTTGATTGTCAGTCAGCGCTTGTGCATTTATTTGAACATTTTTCCTAGCTGTTACGCTGGCCTCGAGAGTTCCCCGATAAATAGTATGTCTGTGTATCACGTGCACAAATACACACACACACACACACACACACACACACACACACACACACACACACACACACCTGTAAAATTGATTCGAGATTAAACTGGGTATATAGTTCGCTGTCTTTAACTGGCTGGAAGAAAGGTAAAGCATACAATGTGCGCAGTCAGATTAATTATGTAATGATTTCAAAAAGATTCAGGAACAGTTTACCTGGAGCAAAGACTAGACCAGAAGCAGTTTTGTTATAGTGACCCTGTTGAACTTGTAGAAAAGTTTAGAATAAAACTAAAAAGTATACAGAACACACTACAGAGCATCAAGTTAAATTTAAAACGGGTAAAGAAATCAAGTTGAGTTGAGAATTGACATCACAGCACTTGGGGCATTCCCTACGCGCTCCATCCCCATCCTCAACAGTCAGCGCAGACTTCCACTACTAATGGTGTCAGTCGTAGTCTGGTTGTATGTCCGTCTTGCCTTTCCTCTGAGCGTTGTGTTCTGGCCAAACCCAGGTGCATCATTCTTTCCAGCCCATAATAATCTAGTTTTTCTTCTGACTTCGTTACTTGTTCCCAAAGGGCTGTTACCACATCTGCTTTGTCATGCATCAATTCACCAGCCAGTGATGCAGATCCAGCCAATCTGTTCATTCCCCACAACGACGGCATAACCTGGAGAAAAGATCCAAAGTATGCTCACTACCCGTGACCTTGCGAGTAATGCTTGCCACTCTTCTCGAAGCAGGTCGTTACAATTACGACATGTGTATGTGGATACAGAAATTAAGGAACAATACAGTGCCGGTGCGCACCGGACCGCACCAAGATGGTCACGGATGTTTCTTTCTGTCCTTTTTATGACTATATCATTAAAATCAAGATTATGTCTTTCGAGATCGGTGTAAGTACTTATTTTGATGTACTATTGACAGCAGAGATCAAGATTTTCTCAGCGGTCGGAATTGCAACCATACAAGTAACACACGGTGAACGTCTCCCCGCCCGCATGGAATGTGACATTATCAAGGCAGTGAAGTGTCCATAGATACCTTTATTACAATAGGCTGGGTGCTAGGAGGCATTGCATTTTAGGATTCAGAGTTTTCATGAGCCCAACACGGTTCTTGTATGCGTTAGGTGACAGCAGTACACAAACTGTGGACAATTGCAAAATTTTCAGAAGATAGCCCTCGGCTGATGAAGCTCAAAAGCCATGAAAGGCAATTCATCTACGCGAAGGAAACATCGAATGCCAAACCACCACTGTCTTGTGGGAAGTTCCCGTAAGACCAAAGGCTAGGGCAACAAAGTAAGACAGAAAATGTGGGTAGGCAGAGCTCATAAGCCCTGGAAGGTAATCAGCCTATGGGAGGGGGAATCCTGAAAAAAAAAAAAAAACCTCAACCGTCGAAGTCGGAAGATGTCAGCCTACTTGGCACGGGACTAAAAATCGGGCATCTACGCACTAGCGATATAGTCATGCAAGCAACATTATTACCTTATGATGGTGTCATTCCTATGGGACGTGGACAGGTGATGAATGGCGCCGGGCACCCTGCCTCGCAAGAGAAGCTATGGGGGAACAGTGGCGACCTTAAACGCACAATCCTATTTGTGACCCAGACGGGACTCACTCAATGTTTAGCATGACTGCTGTCGAACGCAGAAGAAGAAATACAGTGCCACTGCGCAAAAACAGATATAACGCCTTGGAAATAATGCAGACTTTTTGTGAACAATGGGGTACGCTGCGTGAGTTTATTCAGCAGACATCGCAAGAGCTTATTCCTTAATGGATGATGAGAGAAGAAAGAAAAAGAATGAAAAAAAAAAAAATAGAAATGTACCAGTATAGATAAAGAAATAGTGAACAAATGCAGATAGGCTAGTCAAACCTGGCTGAATCAGATTTAAACATAAATAGGTGGGGGGCAGGGGTGTGTGGGGGGGGGGTGTGGGGGGGGGGGTCACCGGAAAGACTTGCATTCTATTCTGCCAGCAGATAAGCATATTTACAGGGAAGAAGAGATATAACATCACTGGGTGTGTAAAATCGAAAGAAGGTGAAGTATTGATGGGGCAAAGTGACCTAATGAAAAGATGAACAGAGTTTTTAAACACAGTTTTTAAATGACATTATGATAGTGGGTACATTCCTAATGACCCATTATAATCTGTATTTATTGCTCTGGAAAAAAAAAATCACTTTAAAAGGGACTATCACAC